TATCTAGTAAGTCTCTGAGGCCAGACCTGAACTCTTGACTCCAGGCCCAGCTCTCTATCCACTGTCTTACCTAGCTGTTCCAAAACACGTAGACACATACACATATACTCACATACATGTGTGTATATGTGTGTATAGTACACATTAAACACACACATATATTTTATAGATATAAAATATGCTATGCATATTATAGAAGTATATTATATATATATATATACAGTATACAGTATATGCAGTATACAGACATGTATAGTTAAGCAAAACAAACTCCCATATTAACCGTGTCCAAAAATACTTGTCTGATTCTGCATTTTAGCCCAGTACCTGACAGGAGGGGAGTAGGAGCATAATTGATTATGTCAATATAATACATATATAAAATATATTAATATCAACATAATTGATTATATCAACTAAAAAAGTTTTAAAAATAATTTGATTATTATCAATAGATGCTGAAAAAGGTTTTGATAAAGTCCAACGCTCATTTCTATTCAAAATGCTTGAAATTACTGGCATAAATGAATTTTTCCTTAAACTGATAAAAAAGCATTTATCTAAAACCATCAGCAAGGATTATTTGTAATAGGGAGAAACTAGAAGCCTTCCCAGTAAGATCAGGCGTGAAACAAGGGTGCCCACTGTCACCAATAGTATTCAGCATTGTATTGGAAATCCTAGCAACAGCAGTAAGAGAAGAAAAAGAAGTAGAAAGGATCAGAATAGGGAATAGTTTTCTTTATGTTAACAATCCCTGCATTCCTGCTATAAATCCCACTTGGTCATGATTGGAACAGTGGATTCCTTCAATCTCCCCCACTCAGCTGTCTGCTGTTCATTAGATGAAAGTTTGTGAGGTGAAAGCTCTTGAGTTGAGATGAAATTTCTTGAGGCCTTGTCTGCCTCTCCACCAAGCTGCCCCTGGGCCTGCTGTCCTCAGGGGATGCTGTCAGTGAAGTTGGCCTGGATGCGTCTACACTTCACTAAGGCCGAACCTCAGCGTCTGGAGGTTTCTCTGAGGTCCTCTCAAGTTGTCGTGGGAGAAGAGCTGCTTTACTCTTTTTCTTTTGCTGCTCTGTGTTTATTTAGTGGTGATTTTCTGTCTGTTTGTGGAGGAAATCTGGAGACCCATTTCAAAGGTCTGATCTGTCTGTTTTCAATGGCTTCAGAATTAGAGCTATGAAAACACAGTTTGGGTATATCAACTATCAGTATAAAAGTTGGTAGTGACCATGTCCTTGAAATGTTTCCTCACAAATGTTGTCTCATCCATCTTGTCATCCTGGATTTCCCATTTAGCATCAGGGATCACTCTCATCCCCTGGGCCATTATATTCTCCAGGTCACTATGTCCCATCTCAGGTAAGTGTTAACATCTCAGTTATAGTCAGACTCCTCTGATTCCAGCCAAGACAAACAGATCACCAAATTCAGTGATTGTGGTAGAACACAAGCAGTCACGTTGCCACCAGCAGCACTTCCCCTTTCTGTCTTTGACCCAACGACACTGGCTTCCTTGCTGTTCCTCAGGGAAGGCACTCCATCTCTCAGCTCCGGCCATTTTCATTGGCTTTCCTCTCTGTTACCTCCAGGATGCTCCTGCCTGACCCCAAGTCAGAAGTCCAACATGAAAAGGTGGCACAGACTATTAAGGAACATTGGGGAAACTGGGCATGTTTGGTCATGAAAAACAAATGAGTCACAGCATAAATACTGTCTGCAAATATTTTAAAGCTGGTCATATACAAAATATAAATGAAAAAAATTTGGAGGGGAGGGCTCTAGAGAGCAGATCTCAGACCAATGGGCAGAAATTATAATGAGGCACATTTTGGTTCAACATAAAGAATAATGTTCTATTAATTTACATTTATTTGGTCTATAAGCTTCACAAAGTACTTTCCTCATGATAACCTTTTTAGGTAGGGAGTACAAGTATTAGTATTCCTATTTTACAGATGCTGAAACCGAGGTTCAGAGAACAAAGTGACTTGCCCAGGCTCATATGACTAGTAAGTATCCGAACCAGGACTTGAAGTCAAAGTCCAATGCCGTTTTGATTGCACAATGTTGCCTCTCTACCACAAAAGAGCTGCTATGACTATTTTAGTACATATGTGTTCTTTTCCTCTTTTTTTGATCTGTTTAGGGCATAGACCAGTAGTGGTATTACTGCACCAAAGGTGTGCATAGTTTAATAGCTTTTTGGCTGTGGCTAGTTTATAGTTCCACAAATAGTACATTAACATACTTGATTTCCAACAGCGTTTGTGAAGTTTGTCATTTTCCTTTTTTTTTTTTAACTTTGTCAGTCTAACGGGTATGAGGTAGAAACTTAGAATTGTTTTAATTTGCATTTCTCTAATTATTAGTGTTTTAGAACACTTTTTAAATATGATTATTAATAGGTTGGATTTCTTCCTCTGAAAACTTTCTGTTTCTCTCTCTTAACTGCTTATCAAATGGAAAATGGCTTCTATTCTTGTAAACTTGAATCAATTCCATATATATCTAAGAAATGAAGCCCTTTCCTCATTTATCTGATTCTCTTCTAATTTGGGCAGCTAGGTGGCACAGTGGATAGTGTACTGGGCCTGGATTCAGGAAGACTTATTTCCCTGAGTTTAAATGTAGCCTCAGACACTTACTAGCTGTGTGACCCTGGGCAAGTCATTTAACTCTGCCTCAGTTTCCTTATCTGTAAAATGAACTGGAGAAGGAAATGGCAAACCACTCCAGTATCTTTGCTAAGAAAACCCCAAATGAGGCTACAAAGAGTCAAACGTGACTGAAAAATGGCTGAACAGCAACTTCTAATTTTGAATACATTGGTATGCAAAAACTTTCAAATTTTATGTAATCAAAATTGTCAATTGTACCTTTTGTGATCCTTTCTATTTCTTATTTGGTCATGAAATCACATTTTATCCATAGATCTGACAGATGTCTTCACTGTTCCTCTAATTTGTTTATGATATAATCTTTTATATCTGTCATGTATCTATTTAGAACTTCTCTTGGCATGTAGTGTAAGATGTTAACCTAAACCTCCTTTCTACCAAATTGCTTTCCAATTTTCCCAATAGTTTCTGTTTAATACCGAGTTCTTGTCCTAATAGTTGAGATGTTCGGGTTTATCAAACATGAGGCTACTGTGCTCTTTTGCTTCTATATATTCTTTCTAATCAGTTCCACTGATCAGCTTTTCTAATTTTTTTTTACCAGTATCAAATTGTTTACATGAGCATTTCTTTGTGATATGGTTTGAGATCTGGTACTGCTAGGGCCCCTTCTTTCCTACCTTTTTTTCATTATTTCCCTTTAAATTCTTGACCTTCTGCTGAGGTGTGGTGATTTCTCTTCCTTTCCAATGGAATTCCAGTTTCTTAGGCAAAAGGCTACTATACTCATGTCACATTTTAAAGTTTACACAGCACTTTATAATTCATTGTCTCAAGCCCCACCAAAAACATGTGAGGTTGGTACAACAGATAGTTTTATCTCCATTTAACAGATGAAGAAACTGAGGCTCAGAGACATCAAGTGATTACTTGTGAGGGTACTATTATGTTACCTAAGTCTACCACCTTGGTGTTTTCTTTGACATCTTACTTGTGCTTACTCAGCATATTCAACTAGTTTAGAAATCTAGTTGTTCCTATTTCCACATCTCCCAAATATATCTCCTTTCCATTCACGTAGCCACAGCCCTCGTTCCAGTCTTCATCATCTCTGGATTATTGCAATTGCCTTCTCACTCGACTCCCTGACTCAAGTCTTTCTTTACTCCAACACATCCTCCACACAGCTGCCAAAGTAATTTTCCTAGAGTGCCAGCTCTGATCATGTCACCCTCTCCTCCTATGCAGTAACCTCCAATGGTTCTCAAATACATCTAGGGTCAAATATAAACTCCTCTGCTTGACATTTAAAGCACTTGACAACCTCGTCTCTTCTTATTTTCATGCATTTCTTAAACATACTCTCCTCTAAGCACTCTTAGTCATATGGGCTAAATGTTTTGTCCCTCACTCACAATGTCCAATCTGCTGTATCTCTGCCTTTGAAACAGACCTGAAACATACCCCCTCCTTGCCTCTACCTGTTAGGACCCCGGACTTTCTTCAACACAAAGTTCAAGTACTAACTTCTTTAAGAAACTTTTGCCGGTCACATCACCACCCTCTCCCTTTCGTTGCTAATGTTTTCCCCTCTTGAATATCTCTATTTATGCACATGTTGTTTTCCCTTTTAGAATATAGGGTCCTTTGCAGCCAATGTGTGTTTTCACTTTTATTCTTTGGTATCTCCAGCATTCAGTCTAGTGCCTGGTAAACAATGAATAAATGCTTGTTGATGGTTTGATTCCTCACCCATGATCACACAGCTAGTCAGAGGTGAGATCTGTACCCAGGGAGCAGGATCCTGGAGAAAGATCACTGGGTCCAAAGTCAAATGACCTGGGTTCAAATCCAACTTGAACTCAATTGGTGAGCCAATTTTAACTTGTTTTTGGTAGGGAGCCAATTGTTAAGGTTTTCAGTATGAGTATTTATGCCTCAGAAATGGGCAAATGCTACAAATCCAGGCTTGATTTATTGTTTTGTTGATTTCCAGACTTAAGAAACCAATGGGGAAAATGTTAGTTATGCAAATTAAACATAAAAAGTGTGTCATGGGTACATTTCTCCACAGCACTTATTGTTAAACATTTACCCACACACACTGTCATCCAAATCCCACCTGTCTCTTGCATCCTATATGAACTTGACAAACCACTTATTAAAAAGCTTTGGATTAAATGAACTCTGAGGTCCTTTCCAGCTTTATAATTCTATGACTCTCAATCTAGCTCTATGGACTCTACCCACCGTGCCCGAACCTCTCCATACTGCTCCAATGGAAAAAGTACAGTCCAACAATGGCAATTTGCTTGCTCTAAAATAACAGAGAATGTTCCCAAAACCTAAAATAATCCAATCCCAGGCCTGTGTTACACAGTCGCAAAGCAAAATAGCTGACATATTAATGAGGGAGGTCGCTGAAACCCAGGAGGGCTGGACATTTATGAAAGATGTTGACAGAGAAAAATGCTGACAGTCAGTTGGCAGAGAATCAGAGTCAATGTTAGAGCCAAGCAAATACGTGCTGCGTCACAGTCCTCTGTATGAAGGGACGACCATCCAACTTTTTAAGTGGAAAGAAGACCCAACCCTTACCACCAGAACCATTGAAGCCTGCAAAATTTCAGGTAGAGAACCTCTCTTATTCTGATCACTTCTCCATAGGCCACTGCTTGAAATGGACTATTTTTTTTGTTTGTTTTGTTTTTTTTTTTTTACTCCATGAAGCGATGTTTTGATTCTAAATCACTGCATATTTAGGAAGCCAAAATGAGCCAAGTGTAAGTGGAAAGATGGCATATAACTCATCTTTTTAAATAAAATGTGTTTTTATTCATTCCGGACTTGTCATTCAATAAATTGTGCATTTTCATATACAAAGTAGAACAGAGAAAGAGGATTGTACATGAAACTGCAAATCTCTACTATGTGTGTGGAAATCATTTTAAAGCCCCCATCGATACAATTTAAAATCAAGCCTGGACAGAAATCACCTAAGCTGTTTCCTCCCTATGAGATCATAACATCTATTACTGATAAATAATAAGTATAAACAGTTGCATGATAATATATATAATATACATATATATAGAGATAGATTTCTCTCTCCATATATATACATATATATATACATTTCCTTCTGTCCCCCTCCCTTCCCCACCAATATTAATAACTAAAGCTATATTGATATAGCTATGTCTACATATATAACTATATCTATTATATAAATATATAATATGGCATACTATGATATGACATAATATTTTATGTTACATTATGTTATGTATCATTTTATAATTTATCATTTTATAATTTAACATTTATAACATTTTATAATTTAATGTTTTACAATATAATATAACATAATGTTATCTAGAGCTAATGTAGAGAGAGCTAAATGTAGACATAGAAATATAGATATGGATATAGATATGTAGCTATGGTTTAGATATTTGGGAAGTAAGTACCCTAAAATGTCCTTTGGAAACATGAAACTAAGAAGCTGGAGGAGGGGGGCTGCTATCACATTAAGTCAATGAGCATTTCTAAGTACCTACTATGTGTCTGGCATGCTGCCAAGAACTGGGAGTTGTTAACTGCTGTTATATTCCATATTTTTCAAAGTGTGCTGAATTTTGTTTTTTTTCAAGTGATAAATCACATAAAATTACTTCTGACCCATCTTCTCAATACCTGGGATTCTGTGCCCAGAATTCATAGCTAACATCTATCAATGGGAAAAGGACAAATGACCACGTTATTGATTTGTTAGATGACTTGGTCACCATAACTCCAGGTTGTGCTTTCTTGGGAGATATCCTAGCCCTTAGACTTGTTCATGTATTTTGTCATTTTAGGATGGATTTCGCATGTCAAGCAGTTTATTTCCTTTTCTTCTTTGCTACGGTGACCAGTGGTAAGTTTAGCTTTAACACCTATCTTACCCAAAGAGAATTTTCCACAGTTGGTAAAGTTGAGAGGGGTGGTTGTCCTAGGCACCAGCCTGTGAAGAGGGCTCATTTCTCTGGGGAGAATAGGAAACTAGAAAGGAGTCTGCTTCTGGGTCTGTGATCATCTGACTCCCCTTCTAGGGACCAGAGGCAAGAACTAATGTATCTGCTCTATAGACTTACTGTCCTTGTCTTTTATCATGAATCAGGGGGAGGGACCCAGAAGTGCAAAATCAGATGGGAGGGGAAGGTCACTGATCCAAAAATCAGACTTTTTAACCAAGAGCTATACTCACAGAGCTATACCTGTTTTTAGAAGTCTTGTTTCATTGTAGCAGAGCACTGACTCGGAAGGTGGAGGACCTGAGTTCAAATCTTACCTCTGATGCTTCCTACCTGTGTGACCTTGGACAAATCACCAAACTTCTCTTGGCCTTGGTTTCTTCATCTATAAAATGGACTAGAATGTATTCAATAGCCTGGATGACTCTTGAGATCCCTTCTAGATTTACATGTCCAAGAAGATCAGTCCTTATTTTTACTACTAGAAGGTGTCGATTTGAATCTGACTATACTCAAGTAGTCCCCAAACAAACATCTGTCTCTTGCAATTTATGGAGAACAGAAATAATAAGATCCTTGGTGGATCTCTGTTGTCACCCACATGGATACTCTCTCAGTTACCTCAGATTATACCCCTTTTATGTCATCTTACTCTGTGAAATTCTTATCTGTCTTGGAGGGCTTCCTCTCTCAATTCTCAATCTCTCTCTGTCTCTGTCTCTGTCTCTCCCTGTCTGTCTCTCTCTGTCTTTGTCTCTCTCTCTCTCCATATCAGACTTTCCAATGTGCCACTTCAATTGTTTATCTATAGTCATTAAACACAGACCCAATGTGTTATTCCACTGCTCAATGAACTGTAGTGGCTCCCTATTCCCTATAGCATCAAATGCATCCTCTTCTATGAAACATTGGAAGTTCTTTATAATCTGATTCTAACTTGCCTTTCCAGAGTCATTCCATATGAATCCCCTTTATGAACAATATGGTAAAGGCAAACCAGTTCTTTTGCTGTTCCTCACACCTAATTTCCCATTTCCTCTTTCCATGCCTTTGCCCAACCTATTTCTCATACCTGTAATGCTCTCTCCCCACCACCCCTCACTTCTTGGAGTCCTTGGTTTTCTTCAAATTTCAGATCTTACATGGTCTTTCCTGATCACTCTGGCTACTAGTATTTCAACCTCCTTCCCAATACCTTGCAAAAAAAATACTTTGCACTTACTTTGAATATGTTTTGTATATGCCTCTCCAGGGGGATGTAAGCACCTCAGGGGCAGGAACACTCTTTATATTTGATCTCCGGTGCCTAGCACAGTGCCTGGCACTGTGCCTAATAAATGCTTGTGGATTGATTGACTGAAAGTCACCTATCCATTACCAGCTCTACCTCCATGTTTGGTCATTTCATGAGCACACCTCTAGATGTTGGTGGATGAATGAACATGTATTCTCCATGGATATTTAGGAGTTATGCACAGATAATTTAGTCCTAAGAAATTTTACATATGTGTGTGTGTGTGTGTGTGTGTACTTGGTCAATGTTTGGACTTTGATTGACTCAGAGTGAATGTAAATAGGAATTGTTTATGTTTTGGCCAGAAACCCTGAGGGTCTTCCCTTACCGGTTTGATTTTTTTTTTTCTCGACTAGATTAAAGAGGTTCTTTGACTCATTTTTTAAAAATCTAGCCTTAATCACTAAAGGGGCATTGCCTCAATCAAACTGAGACCTGCTAAAGACCTTAGCTTTAAAAAACCAAGGTCTTCCACTGCATTTGGGGCCCTCTCCAGTTGTGCTGATGTGTATCTGGCCACTGGACCCAGATGGCTCCAGAGGAGAAAGTGAGGCTGGTGATTTTGCACAGCCCTCCCTCACTTAAATCCAATTCACTTGCAACTCATGGCATCATCTTCCTAATGTCACAGCCTTCTTTGAGAATGAAGGACAAGCAACAACAATCCTGTGTGTATATATGTATACGTGTACATGTGTGCCTATATACACACATATATCTTTTATTTGGTTACTTCAGCCTCTGCGAGAAATCATAACTCATTCTAGTACTCTATGCAAGTTTGGTTAAGCAGATGATTCCTAGCATGTGGGGACCTGCCATCAATTGTTGGATTAGGTGGAGGGAAATTTATTGGGGTCTTTTGATCTAATTCAATAATCATTTGTTTTAAGTGCCTGTTACTGTTTTTGCTAGGTACCAAATTAGGTGCTAGGGGTACAAAGGCAAAAACCATTTTTACTGGATGTATACAACAGAGACACCAGCAATTTAAGATATCTACCAGTAAATAAGTTCAAGATAATTTGAAAGGACAGAGAACACTCAGGGGTGAGCTGGAGCCAGCTAGGCTGATTGTTAAATTTTTGTAGTGAGCATCCATACCTCATAAATTGACAAATACTACAAACCAGGACTTGATTTATTGTTTTAGTGATTGACTAGACTTAAGAAAGTAATGGAGAAAATGTTAATAAAGCAGATTCAACTTAAAAGTGTATACTGTCTATATATATATTTTTTCTTTTGGAGGGCTGGTTGTTAAACATTTACCAGCTCACCCTGAGAACACTAATAACTTAGGGGACTGAATAAGGCTTTCCCTGGAGGTGGTACCTCATCTGAGCCTTAAACGAAGCTGAGGATTCTGAGGTGAATATAAGAAGGGAGTGCATTCTGGGTAAGGTGAAGAGACATGGAGATGAGGAGCAAAATAATGAGCTCAGAGAACGTGGCATAGTCATTAGAGTGCTGCACCTGGAGATGGGAAGATTTCCATTCAATTTCTGCCTCAGACACTTGCTGCTCATGTGTTCGACTCTTTGTGACCCCATTTGCGGTTTCCTTGGCAGAGACACTGGAGTGATTTATTTACCATTGCCTTCTGCAGCTCATTTTACAGGTGAGGAAACTGAGGCAAACAGAGTTAAGTGACTTGTCCAAGGTCACAGAGCTAGTAAGTGTCTGAGGCTAGATTTGAACTCAGGAAGAGGAATCTTCCTAACTCCAGGCTGGGCACTCTATCCACTTTACCACCTAGCTGCCCCTCAGACACTTACTAGCTGTAGAACCCTGGGCAAGCCACTGAACCCCTGTCAGCCTCAGTTTCCTCATCTGCAAAATGAGAATAATAATAGCATTAACCTTCCAGGATTGTTGTGAGGATCAAATGAGATCCTATGTATAAGAAAGCACTATATAAATGCTAATTATTATTAGGGCAATTTGGTTGCAAAGAGGAGATTGTGAGGGTAGTGTTATGAAAGAAGTCCTGGCAGATGGGTGGGAGTCTAATAATAATAACAATAATAATAGCTATGTATCAGTTGCTTTACAAATATGATCTCATTTGATCTTTGCAACAACTCTGGGAGGTAAATGCTATTGTTATCATCCTTATTTTACAGGGGCTAACAGAGGTTAAATGATTTGCCCAAGGTCACCCAGCTGGTAGGTTCTGAAGTCACATTTGAACTCAGGTCTTTCTGACTGCAGGGTCTGTGCTGTCTCATTGCCAAATGACTTCATTCTATGTAGGGAATTACAGCCATATCTTAATTGGGGTTGTGGTGGGGGGAGGAGATTGCTAAGAATGGAGAGGGGGTGGGGAAGGAGATAATGTTGGGGGAAGAGGTAAATAAGAGGGCACTCGAGCACATTCCTTGCCAGCCGTGCCAGATTAACGTTCTCCTCTGATTCTATTACAGACTGTGTGACTCAGTTTTATGAAAACACCTTCTTTAAAGGAGGAGATGTGGGTGCGGTGCACACCCCAACTGCTGACGACTGCCAGAGAGTATGCACCTTCCACCCCAGGTGTATACTGTTTAGCTTTCTACCTGCAAACGCCATTAATGATGAGAACAGAAGGTAAAAGGCTTGGTGTGCGTTATCAGAGAAACCGATCCCCCCTTCCCCGACCCTCGCCCAATGATGCTCATTGGTTTTGAAGTCTGAGTACATGGGTTCGGATCCTGGTTCTACCACTTCTGCATCTACATGTGTGACCTTGAGCAAGTTACTTAGCCTCTCTTTGCCTCAGTATCCTCATCTGTAAAATGAAGGAGTTAGACTAGATGTGCCAGACACTGCTCTAAGCATTTTATCTCATTGACAAAGCTATATGGTAGATAGCCTAATAACTTAACTTAATTCACTGATCTTAACCTAGGATGAACCTTGGATTGTAGACACATAGTCAGTCACTTCTATCTTTCCTTTCATTTTTGATTTTGTGTCCCAAGTGTCGAGCACTAAGTAGGCTTTTATTAAAGGCCGCAACATTTATTAAGTGCTTACTAATTAGTGTCACTAATTAGTGACACTAACAAGTGTCAGGTAGTGGAGATTCAAAGATAGGCAGAACAAACAAACAAAAATGGTCCCCACCTACATGGTGCTCACATTCTAATGAGAAAGGAGGGGGTGCCTATATGCACAAAATTTTATATAGAGAGTATATACTATGTAAATGAAAGGTAATCCCATTAGTAAGGCACTAGCATTTGGTGGGTGGGTGGGGGTATCTAGAAAGGCCTCTTAAACAAGAGGAAATATAAGCTGAGTCTTGAAGGAAAAATGATAGAAGCCAGAAAGGAGAGCATTTTAGGCACGGGGAACACTCAGTAAAAAAGGTACAAAGATGGAGTGCTGTGCTCAAGAAACAGCATGAAGGCCAGTGCTGCTGCATTGCAGATTTTGTGGGAGTGAAGTGTTAGAAGACTGGAAAACTAGGGAGGGCATAGGTTGATAAGGATGTTACATGCCAAGCAAGGGATTTTAGATTTGATCTTGGAGATAATAGGATGCCACTGGAATTTGCTGAGTAAGGGAGTCATCTTGTGTAAGGCAGAGGAGCCAACCACACTTTTGCAGTATTCTAGGAAAAGGATGATGGGAGTTTGAGTCAAGGTGGCAGCAATGTGAGTGTAGAGAAGGAAGCTTATATGAGATGTATGGTGAAGATTGAGATGAGAAAACTTGGCAATAGATCTGTGTGAGGGGTGGTGGTGGGGTGAGTGTAAGCAAGTTGCTGAGAATAACTCTGAAGTAATGGGAGAATAGTGATATCATTGACAGGAATAGGAAATAGCAAGAGATGAGGGTTTGATGAGATTAATAGTGAGTTCTGCTTTGGACATGCTGAGTTGAGATGTCTGTAGGACAGCCAGTTCAAGATACTCAAGAAGAATTTGGACTGATGCTTGGGAGAAAGGTTAGGGCTGGATATATGGATCTGAGAATAGTCTTCATAGAGCTGATGTTGAACCCATGAGGACAGATGAAATCACCAAGCAGAATAATATAAAAGAAGAAGAGGATATAGGACACAGCCTACTCATGGTTAGTAGACATGACCTTGGAGGAAGATCCAGCAAAGAAGACTAAGAAGTGGGTCACAACCACACTTGAGATTCAAATTTTCACAATCCTTATCTTTTGCTATGCCTGCTCTCTACCCTGATCTTATATTGGATGATCTGATTTACCTCATTAATCTCTGATTTTCACACCTAAAATTTTAGACTCTAATTAAGGGCCTTTTTTCCCTGTGCCAGATGGGTCATGATCTGCATGAGTGGAAAGCCCAAAGTGATGAAATCATATATCTTTGGAAGTATTGAAGCAAAGTTGTCAGGGCCTTTTCCCATCCCTTCAGTCAGGAAAGACCTTGTGTTCCACCTATCTTAGGTGGCAATTTGTGTTGTGTCACTCTAATCAATCATTCAGTTGATCAATAAACATTTGTTAAGCACCTACCTTGTGCCAGGTACTGTGTTAAGTGCTGAGAATACAAAAAGAGGCAACAGACAGTCCTTGCCCTCACAGAGCTTACAATCTAAGGGAGGAGTCAACATACAAACAAATATACAATTACAGAAGTAATTGATCAACGTTTATTTTTTAAGTACTTACTTAATTGACTAGATGTCAATCATTGGTCCAAGTGCTAGGAATGCAAAGAAAAAGAAAAACAGTATTTAATATGTGTTATTGTTCATTACAGTTATCTGTACATAGGCTATTTGTCCCTGCTTGACTATATGCTCCAGGAAGGTAGGGACCATGCCTTCTCTAAACTTTGTTATCTCCTCTAGTGAAGTGTTCTGACCTCAATGACTTATTGAATAGAATTAAAATAAATAGAATATTACTTTCTGACAAATATTCTTTTTTGGTCAGTGTCAGAAAAGGTGTAATGGATTTTCTGTCCATTAAAAATGTTTTAAAATACCCAAATTCAGGGCATTTTATAAAGGACATATGAGGAAAGATGTTATCTACATCCAGAGAAAGAACCGATAAATAGAAGTATGTATAGAATAATGTTACATATGTGTGTATATAAATAAGCATATATGTATGTATACACACATATACATATACATATATGTATATGTACATATACACATGATTGTGCCTAATAGTAGCCACCTCGGGGTGGGGGAAGAAAAAAAAGGAAAAAAAAGAAATTTACATGATAATTTTGTTGTGTATTTGAAAGGAATAGCAAGTTGTGCCTAGTAGATTTTCAGTTTCACATGCAATCATCTTTTTTATTGTATTATGTTATGAAAAGGTTATTTATTCTATAAATTAAATATAAAATAAATCTTTTAAAAACATTAATTATAGATAAGTTAGTAGTTTTAAATGTGTTGATAGTTTTGTAGGTATAATAATTGATATAATTATAAATTATTTGTCCATATACTTATCCATTTTCACTAAGTGATGCCCCTCCTTTCCCACAGGTTTGGCTGTTTCTTAAAAGACAGTGTTACTGGAACTCTTCCAAGAATGACTAGGACAAATGCAATTTCTGGGCATTCTTTAAAAGAATGTGTTTATCAAAGAAGTGGTAAGTTGTAGTTTACTTGTTTCAATTGGTATTTAGTTCTAACATGCTTTACCTAGTATTCCTTCCTTTCTTTTTCTTCCTTCCTTTCTTTCTTTTTTCTTTCATTCTTTCTTTTCTCTCTCTCTGTCTTTTTATCTCTGTCTCTCTGTCTGTCTTTCTTTCCTTGCCAGTTGGTTATGGAGCCTCATACATTTGTGGAAGGCAGTCCCCCTGAGAGTTTCTTTTTTTGTTTTGAATAGATTTTTGTGGTACTATTTGTTATAACATTGTCTACATTTCCTCTCTACCCCTGCCATCCCTTATAAGAAAGAATTTAAAAACAAGAAAAAAAGTCAACAAAACCAATCAACACATCAAAAAAATAATATTACATGCAATATTAACTCAGTCAAGAAATATTTATCAAGCACCTACTATGTTCATTGCACTGTGCTAAGCTCTGAAGATACATGGAAAGACAAAAGATAATCCCTGCCCTCAATGAGTTCACTATCTAATATTCTATACTTGTAGACTCCTACATCTGCAAAGGAGAGGAGAAGGAGGTATTCTTTGGGGAAAAATATTCTACTGGATAAAACACCATGTGGTTTTGTTTGGATTTCTTTTCTTCTACTTTCCATACATAGTAGATGGATCCTCTGGGAATTCTCTATGGTGACTAGTGATATAGGAGTCAATCAATTTCTAACTACAATTGAGCACAGATTATGTTTGAGACACTGTTCTAGGCACGGTAATGTTCTCCAAAGCCACAGAGATGACACTGATGAATAGGTATCTAGCTAAAGAATATTTATCCAATTTTAGACCTTAGTCACACAGTCACTATATGGCAGAGCTGGGACTTAAACCCACATCTTCCTGACTCTGATAGCTCTCTCTTATACTGTACCATAGCTGCCTCCCCCGTTTTAGAGATGAAGAAGTGACCAGCTTAGAGTCACACAGCTAGTAAGGTTCATTACTTACTGGTAACGAAAATGTCAAATATAAATGGATTATGTGGAGCAATTAAAAGAAGAGGTTTTAAATGCACAAATTAAAAGTAAAGGAAATTTGTAGAAAGACGCTATTTGCATCCAGAGAAAGAACTGAAAAATAGAGGTATGGCTAGAATACTTTAACATATATATATATATATATATATATGTATGTATGTATGTATGTATGTATGTATACATGTATATATGTACACACATGCACACACATATATACATATATACACATACATATACACACACATACATATATGCATATGCATACACACATATGTATGCCTATTTGTGTCTCATGGTAGCCATCTCTAGGGTGGAGGAGGGAGGAAAGAAGAAAAAGGAAAAAAAAAGAAATTTGCGTGACAACTTTGTTGTATATTTGGAGAGAATAGCAAGTCATACATGGTAGATTTGCAGTTTCATGTGCAATCATCTTTTTTATTGAACTGTATTGTGGGAATGCTTGTTTTGTTCCATGACTTGACAATAAAATTTAAAAAAGAAGAGATTTTTCTAATGGTGCATTGAAGATGAAATACTTTCTTTTAGGGCCATTGATTAAAGGGGTTACATTATTCCAGTTAGGAAACTGCATTAGTTCTGTTTGTTATGTTTCTACAGCTTGTAGCAAGGAGAAACATGTAGGACTTGATATGAGAGGAGTGAATTTCAATGTAACCAAGGTGAACACTGTTGAAGAATGTCAAAAACAATGTACAAACCATGCCCTCTGCCAATTTTACACATATGCCACACAGACATTCCACAGACCGGAGTATCGGTGAGCAGCAATCTTCCTTAAAGATTCTGTTAAGGATTTTAATTTAAGGCTCAACTAACTCTTTTTCAAATCTGAATGAAAGACGTTCCAATCTCACTTTTCTTCTTTTTGGGATTCTTGAAATAGCAGCTATCTTTGTGGGTGGGGTTTGGTGGTAGTTCAGTGAAGTCGACAATGGTATAGAGTATTTATATTTTCATAAGTGTCGAAGCTAAATGGTCAAGCATGGTTCATTACTGGGCCTGAAAGCATTCCAGTCTCCTCATCATCCAAGGAATGACCATTTTAGAATTCTGTTCTAGTTGATGGGTTTGCTATGCCACACTAGATAGAAAATTCACAAGAGTCAAGACAAGACAAGTTAACAAGCACCTGCTAAGTGCTGGGGACACAAAAGTTAAAAACAAAACAAAACAAAACAAAACAAAACTTGTCCCTGTCCTCAAGAAGCTCAAAGTCTATTGGAAGAAATAATATGCAAACAACTATGAACAAACAAGATATAGAGAGCATAAATTATAGATGATAATAGAGAGAAGGGCCTAGCATGAAGGGGGATTTGTAAACAAGAAAACTTAACAATGAAGACAAATCAAAATAAGTCCCTTCCTTTAAGGAGTTTGTATTCAACATCACCATTGCAAAATATTTTTCATCTCAACTGATTCTCACAGCAACCCTGTGAAGTGGGCAGTATAAATATATCATCCCACTTGACAGATGGAAAAACTGAGGTGTACCAGAGTAAAGTGAATTTCCTAAGATTGGAGCCAAGACTCAAGCCCAGGTGTCTTGAGTCTCAGCTAAATAACCTTTCAAACACAAGATATTTTTTCTTCTCTCTTCCAGGCTAGCAACAGGATCTGTTCAAGGCAATGTTCTAGGCATGGTAATGCTGTTAAAGGTCTATGGGTAGGGTATCAATGCATAAATTTTTGACTGTAGCTTAGTCCAATTTTGGACATGGTCACGTAATTATGTGTGTAAAGGTGGAGCCTGACCCTAAACCTGTTCCTAGTCTATCTATTCCTTGTTTCTTTCCACCATTCCACCCATGTTATGATTTCCAAATGCTTCATCTCTCGTGGTATCATCACCAGGATCATCTTATTGCCGTGATCATTGTTACTGTAATTTTCTGTGGGGATTTGCCAAGGGAGGGGAATCAAACCATGTTGCAGGTGGAAGTGTTAATTGCACTGCTGAACACAGCTTACTTTATTTTGTGACAATATTCAGAATGCAAAGAACAGATATCAAACAAAATCATCAATGAGCTTTCTTTCCTTCTTGCTCAGAAACATATGTCTGCTGAAGCACAGCCAGTCAGGATTCCCTGACACCATCAAGACGCTGGAAGGCTTGGTGTCAGGATTCTCCCTGAAGCCCTGTGGACTTTCTGATATGGGTAATTACTTATATATCCACCATTCCACATGATTTCTTGTACAGAGAACAAGGAACACTTGGACAGAGCTTATACCTAATGTGGCAGAGAGCAAAGGTTACTATAACTTGGACTAATGGGACTCTATCTCCTGGGATGGATGGATAATTCACCTGGCATTATTGAAAGGATTATCTCTAATGCTCATTTTAATTCATGTATCTATAGATAACATTAATTATGGTAACATTATTAAAACCAGAGAAGCTGCAGCAAGGCCAGGGGGCTATCTCCCTTTTTCGTCAGCCCTCATTCAATATCTTCACACTGATCCCTCTTTTCCCAAGACAATCCTCTCTGGCCCCCAAATTGCCTGGGATGTCCTCTCAATTTCCTGCCCACTGTCAAAACTTCCTATCCCCAGTAAGTGATAATGCATCAGCACAAATTCTGATATTCCTGACAAATGGAATGCATGAACTAGGTTTTCAACATCATTGTAGATTTAGAGCTATAAGGGACCCCAGAAGTCATCTAGTTGAATCCCCTCATTTTACCATCATGGAAACTGAGTTCCAGAGAGGTTAAGCGATTAACCTGAGGTCACACAGATGAGTAAGTAGTAAACCCCGTATTTGAACCTATATCTTCTGGCTCCAGATGCAATCCTCATTCCTTTGCACCACACGGTGCTTTCATGGTGTGATACTGATGTACCCCAAGGGAATCTGTGATGCAAAGAGTTAACTAGGGCTGATGCTAGGCTGAGGAAGGGGTAGGGGACAGGTCAGAGGATCTGGGGAAGTAGATGTCAGTAAGAAGAGTACCTTGTTCACTTAATATACTATATTTTCCATAGTAGACAGGAGGAAGGTCTGATTACTAGTACTGGTAGAAAACACAGGCCAACTCAACATAGGGAGCTAGGCCGTTTGTTTATTAGCTGTTTTTTTTTTTTTTTTGGCTAGGCAATGGGGTTAAGTGACTTGCCCAGGGTCACACAGCTAGTAAGTGTTATATGTCTGAGGCCAGATTTGAACTCAGGTCCCCCTGAATCCAGGCCCGGTGCCCTATCCACTTCGCCACCTAGCTGCCCCCTTTTATCAGTTTTTTTTTAAAGAAGAGACTAAACCATGAGGAGGAGAATAAGTTGAGGTCCAAAGTTCACAGGGCTAAGACCCAAGCAGTGGAAGTCCAGAAGGTATGTTGGAACATGCAGAGAGTGATATGAACAAAAGTTCTGAGATATGGCATGACCAAAGGCCAGTGAGAGTGGTGCTTCATTGGCTGCCACAGACATTTCTGGTTCCTTTTCCTCTTCTCATACTTTAAGGGGAGTGTTTTCACTGGGTCCTTATATGTGAATGGGAACTGAGAGAGGGTGGAGACTTCAGATAGGACAATAGATAAGTTAGTTTTGTCAGGGGGGATTTCTGCATCCCTTCTATATCATCTCATCCCCCACTTCATCTTTTGCTTTTGTGTTCATGTCCTCTAACTCAGTGTCAGGCACATAGTAGGTGTTAAAATACCCATTGATTGATTGCTTGTAAGACTGTTCATGAAACAAATTAAAACATTTGAATGAAGATTTTTGAGAAATATCTGAGAAAACAGGATCTTTTAGGCTGACTTCAAGTTAGGGTTAAAAATCATTGAAATTTTATGATCTAAAGAATTGGCTAATGGCTATCCTCACAGGCTTCCTTCTTCAACTTTCTATTTTAGGCAAATTTTACAAATTATCAGCATAATCATCCCCTTAACACTTACTCCACTGTCTCATTCTGATGTCATCCTTCAGCTGAGACTGCTGTCTCTTCAAAGTTACTAACAGTCTCTTAATTGCCAGGTCTAATGGCCTTTTCTCAGACCCCATCCTTCCTGACTCTGCAGTTTTTGACACTGTTGATCACCCTCTCCTCCTCATAATCTCTCCTGGTTCTCCTCCTTCCTGTCTACCTGATCCTTCTCAAGTCTCCTCTGGATTTTCATCCAGATCATGCCTACTTACTGTGGGTATTCCTCCAGGTCTCTATCTTGAACTTTGCTCTTTTATCTCTCTTTACTGTCCTGCTTGTAATCTGACTAGCACCATGAGTTCAATTATGGTCTTTATGCTGATGATTCTTAGATCTGTTTATTCAGCCTTATCTAACCTTTCTCCTAACCTCTAGACTTACATCTTCAACTACCTTTTGGACAATTCAAACTGGAAATCCCATAGATATCTTCAACTCAACATGCCCAAAGCTAACTCAATTATCTTTCTCTCCAAACCTCCCTTGGCATCCCTCTTTGCTAAAATTTTCAAAGCCTCAGTGTGGCCACTGGTATTCACCTCCTCTGTTGTTTCTGCCTATTCCAGCAAAACCACCTAGGTATGGCTCTTTCAGAAAATCCAGAAGATAAGAGAGCATCTCAAGACAGATGAAGTGGTCAACAGTATCACATGATACAGAAATCTCAAGTAAGATAGGAACTAAAAAAAAGGTCATCAAACCAACAATTAGGAAGGTATTAATGATGTTTGAAAAAAATGAGTCTTAATGTGTTCATAGAGATAGTGGATAGAGTGTTAGACTTGGAGTCAGGAAGAACTGGGTTTGAATTGTGTCTGAAACACTTCACTCTAGACTCTGGACAAGGCTCCCTCTGTAAAATGAGTCCATTGAGTTGGAGGTCATTTCCAACTCAAAATCTATGATCTTCTGGTAGGAGCCATATTCCAAGACATTAAAAAGGGGTGAGGAGGACTTCATAAGTATAAGTAATATATTATAACTAGAAATTTAGTGGTGAAAAGGAAAAGAGAGAAATAACAGTAAGAAAAAGAGGGTAGCATACAATAATGATTTTTCAAGACAGGGGATTCCTGAGCATATGTTTTTAGGCTGAAGAGGAAGGCGCCAGTAGAGATGAGAAGAAATTAGAGATACGGGCAAAGGGGAGTGGTGATAAATGTCTCTAGGCAGGAGAGGATAGATGGAATATAGAAGTGAAGTGGGTTGTGTTGAAAACATTAATCAAAGTTGAATATGTGGGCAGGTGTCTGGGGAAATATGTGTCAAGAAGACAGTAGTAGATTCTTTGAGCTGGAAGAGTCTTCAGAGAGATTACCTAGTTCAACCTTCTACCCAATTCATGAATCTCTTCATTAGTCAACAGTCAGTCAACAAACATTTAATATGCTCTTATCACGTGCCAGGCATTGTGCTAAACACTGGGGATACAAATACAAGCAAAAAAAGAAAAATAACCCCAGCCCTCAAAGAGCTTACATTTTAATGGGGGAAGACACTTCATAAAAGGGAGCTGAAAAGCATGGTGGGGAGTCGAGGTGGGGGCACCTGCATAATGGTAGAATTTGAAGAGTCAGAAGCAGAGCCAGGAGACAGACGAAGGAGGGATAGCCTGGACCCCTCACAAAATGGAGGCTCTAGGAATAACTCATGAGTTCCTACTCTATCTTTTTCACTGGTTCTTTTGCTTCCCAGAAAAAAAAAATGTTGATGGTTCCCAGGTTCCTGTCTTCAACCTTCTTTTGTTATATACGCTTTACCTTGACAATCTACTTCCTAAATCTTTATCTCAAAGCCATGACCTTTCTCCTGACCTACAGATCTATATGCCCTAGGTTAATAAATCTCCTAGGTTCTTCCAGGTCTTAACCTGCTGGTGCTTTAAATTCAACATCTCCCAAACTAAACCCATCATCTTACCACCTAAAATGGTCTACACTTCCAGATTTCCATGTATCTGTGAATGGAACTGATATGCAAAGTCACACAGGCTTGAGATTTCATATCTGGTGGCTCCTTCTCCATTGTTCCTCCCACATAAGCACTATTGTCCTTTCTATGTCCTACACAATCTCTTGCATCAGTCTCTGCCTCTCCATTCCCACCACCACTATCCTAGTTCAAACCATTATAAGCTCTTGAGTGAACTAGTATAAGCGTTTTCTTTTTGATTTCCTTGCCTTTCCACTCCCAGTCTCTCTCCCACTCCAACCAACAGATTAATGTTTCACTAGAGCCCAGAAGATAGAGTCTTTGAGATGGAGGAGAATCTACTTCCTACCATATCATTTCCCTCTTCAAAAACCTTACATAGCTCCATATTGCCTACAGAGTACAATAAAAACTCTCATGACTAAAATAAAAGATTATTCTTTCTATTATCCCACCTTAACTTTCTAGTTGTGTCTCCCATTATTCCACTGTAGAAGCCCTATGCTCTAGCCAAATTAGAAAGTCCCTATTTCTTTAATTATTCCTCACCTTAGTGTTTTTTCTTCTGTTTCCCTGTGCTTGGAGTTATCCCCAGACAAAAAGGGCCAGCTAACTGTAATCCTCCTGCATTCAGAAGTAAGCCTTCCCTCTCATGATTGTACTCATAGCTCTCTTAGCCCTTTATAACTTTTTTTTTCATATTCTGTGTTCTAATTACTTGTTCCTATGTCACAGCTCCCCTGCTTAATTGTAAGTTTCATGAAGGTGGGCACACTGGTGCTGCCTAGGTTTCTATTACCAGTATGTAACATAATGTCTTACTCAGCACTTGCCACAGTGGTTGGCACATGGTAGGTACTTAATAAAGCTTGTGAGTTGACTCAACTAGACTCACATATAAAAGACATTCAGTAAATACTTGTTGAATCAATTAGTCAGCAAGTATATATTAAAGACCTACTATGTGCCAGGCACTGGGATTATAAATACAAATGCATTCATCTTCTCAAATTAACCTGCCCATATACCTCTTGGGGAATTAAAGGGTTAAGTCACTGGCATTTAAGCTATACGCAATCAGTTTGGTGTTGTTTTCCTGGTGAGAAAAAGTTGTTATCAGTAATTTAGCTTCCATAATATTATTGCAAGTTATGTATAGGTTATTAGAATTTATAAGATAACTAGAGACAGGTACAAATGGAATTAACAGACAAGTTTAATAAAAAATGATAATCACTGAACTTTCTCCTGATCTAATCTAAATTTACTTATTTTAGACTCTATAAATTCATTGGTGTTTATCTCATACTTCTCTTTGCTAAGTATCATAAAGGCCTAAAAGTCATGGAGCTTTACAGCTGTAAGGGACTGTGGAGATAATAATTAACATTTGTAGAATACTTTAAAGATGACAAAGCACTTTATGTTATATGTTATTTCATTTGTTTCCAACAAAAAACTTTGATACATAGGTCTTTTTATTGTCCCTATTTTGCAGATGGAGAAATTGAAGTTGAGAAAGGTTAAGTGATTTGTCCAGGGTCACATAGTTAGTAAATATCTGAAGGAGGAATTGAACTCAGGTCATACTGACTCCAAGTCCAGTGCTTAATCCACCACGACACCATATTACATATGTACTTAATAAGTTATGTACTACTTCAAAAACCCATGATTTCATCATCATGGTATTTTTTCCCACATTGCATTTCCTACATTTGCATATCTTCCTTAGTAGATATGGGTTATGGGTTGCTGACCTTGGAAAATCTATCATCTAATGGATAATTTTCTGCTAATAAGAACCTCTGAACTTAAAAGCATGGCCTATACTTGAAGCCTTCCCAGGTCAGTAGAAACTGGCAGTTCCTGTCTTTGCTATTTGCCAATAGCCATGGACTCCCTTCACATCATGATGAGGTACTGAGGAAGGAAGTCAGTGAAGAATCATGGGTAGTTGCAGAAAAAATAGCTCAAAGTAAATAATAGTTTATATTCCCAAGTACCTGGACTATGGGTCTTACTAATGCAAAGGACAACTGAGTATATGACAGAGGGCCGATGGAATAAGTTCTACTTTTTAAAATTTTAGATAGAATTGAGAGAATGATGGGGGTTAGCAGAATTTCGATCAACAGTCTACTATCACTGGAAAAAGCTGCCTACTTAGAAATTTAAGAATTTGTTAACTTTGCCAACACGAATGACTCTGTCTTCTTTTAAGTGATGTAACAAATACAAAGAAAGGTTTTTGGGTTGCAGCCAACTCCAGTGGAAAGAGCAGTAGCTTTGGAATTAGAGAATCTGGGTTTAAATCCCTCCTTCCTTCTGATGCTACTATCTGTAGGACATTGAACAAGTCATTTCACTTATCTAGCCCTCAGTTTCCTTATCTGTAAAATGAGAAACTTGGACTTCATGGCCCCTTTAGTTTCTTCTAACTCTAGATCTGATATATTTTTTAAAGACTAGATCTCTCCATTTTGCTCAAAGTAGAAGTAAAGGAACTACTCATGGCCTGATCCTACTTCTGATTAGCACAAAACCTTTGAACCGCTCTGCTTCCAACCTGGGCCAGTTTCCTCCTCCCTGTGCAACCTGGAGGCCTCCCTGCTCTCAGGGACTCAGTTATTAATTTTTTCCCAACTTGATGTGGATACCCACATCTGCATCGTCCACTGTAGTTCAGAACTTCTGAGGTCAAGAGATCTGCCAATCTCAGCTTCTCCATGAGTGGGAATTACAGACACGTACCATCACTTCTAGCCAAGTCTCTGATCCTATGAGAATTGAGCTTCAAAGAAGCAGTGGACTTATATCTTAATGTTTTGATTAATTGTACACCCAGATCTTAATCCAATATAATGTTAGTGTTAATAGTAATGAATTAAAAAAAAAACATTTTTAAGTGTCCAGAATATTCCAAATGTTAGTCCAAAGTTCTGGGTATGTAAAGAGAAAAAGAAGACATTCAATCTAAAAGAATTGATGCTTTAATTGGAGGACACAGTACATACAAGAGGGCACATCAGCAGGGATGACAGCAAGGCCCAAAGGTGCTAAAGGTGAATGTCAAGGCCATGAATCTTTAGGATGCAGCAGAGAGTCTGATCTGCAGGGTGGCGAGCCTGGAGGGCACTGGACTCCCACTACTGGGAAGGGTCAGACTAGACCCCCACTACTGGGAAGGGTCAGAGTGACATATGAAATTCTGAGTTCCCTCCAGCAGAAATGGAGATCAGAGTCTGGTAGAGGGGAAAGGTTGGGGATGGGGTTTGGATGCTTTAGGATAGGAAGTGGGGAAGATTGTCTCTTCCTGATACCATGAAACAGCATGTGGAATTCTGAGTAGTAAATGACTTCTGTGCCTTCACAGGTTGCCAAATGAATATTTTTCAACATATGTCATTTTCTGGTGAAGATGTTGGCAGAGTGATTGCTCCGGATCCTTTTGTATGCCGCACTATTTGCTCCTATTATCCAAATTGTTTATTTTTTACGTTCTATACAAACACATGGCATATAGAGTCACAAAGGTATGTGGGATTTTGGCTGTCATTTTATAACAAATTTTATAATTCTCACATTTAGAGGCTTAGACTTTTTAAAAAACAGCCAATAGTGCTATGAATAGATGGCTGGCCTTATAGTTAGGAAACTCTTATATGACTTTATGCCTGGGACACACAATCAGTTATTGGTTGTGTGTCCCTGGGTAAGTCACTTAGCTTTTCAATGCCCCAGGCAACATTTTTTTTTCAAGACTACAAATTGCAGACAAATTTCCAACTCACCCTTGGGTTCCCTACTCTAATGAAATCACAGATTTGGATCAAAAACTTTCTATGACAATATGCTTTTTAAAAATTAATTACTTTATTTATTTTTAGTTTTCAACTTTCACTTTTATAAGATTTTGAGTTCTAAAAATTTCCCCCCCCCTTTCCCTCCCTCAAGACGGCATGCATTTTAATACAGGCTATCTGTGTATAATCATATTAAACATATTTCTATATTAGTTACATACAACAATCTCTGAGCAGGAGAATGTGTTGGAGGCTTAGTTAGGATAAGAGGTCAGTATTCCTGCAACCAAAGTCCCTGATTTCTCTTCTTCCAACCCCAATTAACTTAGCAAAACCTTTATGTGAAATCAAGGTCAAAGTCTACTTATCTTCTCTCAATATTACAAAATTCCAGTCCCTAAAGTGCCTCCAGTCACAATTTTTTTTAAAAAGAAAGAATAATGATCTGTCTGTTCCTGAAGGAGAGTTCCATTTTAAATGTTTTCCCTATTTACTTAGTGTTTCTCATGCTTTTTTTAATTTGCTTTTAGAAATATGTGTTTTCTTAAGACATCAAAGAGTGGAAAACCAAGCTCTGGAATACCACAGGTCAATACCACCTCAGGATATAGTCTTCTAAGCTGCAAAGATTTGCCTGGTAATGTGGTACAATAACAAGTAATAACTGATGAGCATCAGTAAGATGAAGGGGTTAGATTGGAGAGGATTCCTTATTCTATACATACTTCTATTTATCAGTTCTTTCTCTGGATTCAAATAGAGTCTTTCTTTATATGTCTCTCATTTTTAATTTGTGGATTTATAATAGTCAAAATGACTTAGTCTCTCAAAGTCTTTCTTAAAAAAAATTGTTGTTACTGTATACAGTATTCTCTTGGTTTTGCTCATTTCACTTTTCATTATTTCATGCAAGTCTTTCTATGCTTTTTCTAAGATCATTGAGCTCATCATTTCTTAGCACAGTAGTATTCCGTCACAATCATATACCACAACTTATTCAGCCATTCCCCAATTGATGGGCATCCCCGCAATTTCTAGTTCTTTGCCACCACAGTTGTGTCTAATGGTAGCCATCTCTAGGGTGGGGTAAGGGGGGAGGGAAGAAAAAAAAGGAAAAAAAAAGAAATTTACATGATAATTGTATTATATATTTAAAAAGAATAGCAAGTTGCACATAACAGATTTGCAATTTCACGTGCAATAATCTTTTTTATTATACTATGTTATAAAAATGTTTGTTTCATTCCATAAATTAAAAACAAAATAAATTTTTAAAAAGATTGGATAAGATTGCCAAGGCTATTCTAGCACTGTGGTAGAGTGAAATGGGGTGCTGAAGTAGATAGGAAGCCTTGGGTTCATAGGATCAGATATTTAAAGTCAGAAAACGTCTTAGAGGTTGTCCAGTCCAAACTTTTCATTTTATAAATGAGGAATTGAGGTATGGAGATGATGAGGGCTTTGCCTAGGGTCATACAACTTGTGAGTGTCTCAGGAAGGATTCAAACTCAATTCTTCCTGGTTCCACTCACTCTGCTATAGATGTTAATATTTCTGTTTTGGAGCTGGGGAGACTAAAACTCAGAGAGATGAAATGATTTGACCTTGGTCATATAGCTAGTAACTGGATAGTGCTTGTAGAGAAAAACAACATGACTGAGTGGATAGAGAGGTGGCTTCAGAATCAGGAAGACATGAGTTGAAGTTCTGACTGTGATATATATGTACTGGCCAGGTGGCACTGGGCAAGTCACCTAAGCTGGTGCTGATCTACATTGGTTGGTGTGAGTTCCTCATTGGGAGTTCCTTATACCAATGAAATCACAAAGGAGAGAGAGAGAGAGAGAGAGAGAGAGAGAGAGAGAGAGAGAGAGAGAGGGAGAGAGAGAGAGAGAGAGAGAGAAGCAATAATAATAGGATGAAACCAAATTCATACCTGTATATTTAGACAGCTAGGCGGTACAGTGGATAGAATACTGGACCTGGAATCAGGGAGACCTGAGTTCAAATCTTGCTTCGGTCTCTTATTAGCTGTGTGACCCTGAGCAAGTCACTTAACTGTTCTCTGCCTCAGTTTCCTCATTTGTAAAACTTGGGATAATAATAGCATCTTACCTCCCATAGCTGTTGTCAGGATAAAATAAGATATTTGCAGTGCTCTATAAATGCTAGCTGCTATTATTATTTGTGTGTGCATTTTCCATCTTTCATGTCTGTGACCAGTACAGAACGATGCCATTCCCAAAAGTATGCTGGTGTGGACTTTGAAGGGGAGGAGTTGGAAGTTGTCTATGTTAAAGGAATTGAGGCTTGTCAAGAAAGCTGTACAAACAAAATCCGCTGTCAGTTTTTCACGTATACATCCCACCAAGGAGAATGCAAGGAAGACAAGTACAATCAATTTTCTTTCTGAAAACTAGCTAACAAAATTCTTGAACATATTTGTCATTTCTACAAAGACAATATCTTTAAAAACCTCACATTTTCCTCTTCTTTTCTTTCTTTTTTCTCCTTCCTTCCTTCCTTCCTTCTTTCTCTCCTTCCTTCCTTTTTCTTTCTTTCTTTCTCTTTCTTTCATTCTTTCTTTCTCTCTCTCTCTCTCTCCCTTTCTTTCTTTCTTCTTCCTTCCTTCCTTTTCTATTTATCTTTGTAGGTGTAAATGTTCCTTAAAAATATCTTCGAATGGTTCTCCAACTAGAATAGTTTATAGGACAGAATGTACCTCTGGTTATACTTTAAGAATGTGTAAAACGCCAAGCATCTCTGGTAAGTAAAGTCCTTATTTTTCTATCTAAGTGTAATCAGATACCTTGTTACATTATAATTCAATGAATCCCTGTCTTTTGATTGAGCCCATTATTTTGAATTACCTTGAGAGTGAAGGTTCTCTGATTTACTGCTTAGTTATAGACACCGCCTCCAGCACTTCTCACCATCAGAAGACCCGAGACCAAATCCAAGTTCCTAGTTGTGTGACCTTGGGCAGGTCACTCCATTTCTCTAAGCCTCAGTTTTACTCATCTGTGAAATAGCAATAGTTAGACTTGTCTCATGTTGTCAGTCTCAGACGAGATGATGTAGATAAAATGCTTCATGACGTTCCACTCTGTGTAAATGTTACATGTTTGTCACCTTTCATCACCATTATGATTCTTTGTAGTCTGTGCAAAGAGAGCAAGTACAAGGATTGTTGGAGGTGCTGGATCTTCTTCACAAGAGTGGCCATGGCAAGCCTCCTTACAAGTCAAACTGAGAACACAGAGTCATGCGTGTGGAGGCTCAGTCATTGGGAATCAGTGGGTCGTAACAGCTGCCCATTGCTTTGATGAGTGAGTATTGGCTCTTCTCTGTTTGAATTCCAATAGAAGGAGGAGGAACGATATTGGGGCACACTTCACTATCACCATGTCATTATTTTAAACCCCATGTTGGGACTATTTTCCTTAATTCCTTAATTTCCTTAAAGGCAGGCTTTATCCTGCCTCCTGCTCTCCTTCATATGTCCTTTAAAGGTAAAGATATTTGGCCATATTTTAGGGAAATGATTTGACCTTCACATTCATATAGTACAGTCTCATCAACATGGACTAGTTGGGGGAGAGGGAAGGAAGGAATGAGCACCAATCTGTATATGTGAATATGTTATATATATATATATATATACACACACACACATATATATAGTATAATGTGAATAATGTGAATATAAAGTGTAATGTAAAAATTCTACAAACATAGGCATTTTCAATGAATGCAGGGACAGCATAATTTTTCCCACAGTAGGATGCTATTGCTTTCAACATTAACAGCTCTGATGTGTTCACAAGAGCAATTAAAAAACTACGAAGAGAAGCAAAAGGGGCTTCCACTAGCCGGCAGTAAAAACATGCTGTAACTAAACACATCTTATATGTATTTAACTGCCTTTACTAGCCATGTTGCTCAGTGTTTAGAGCTCTGAACTTGGGGATAGATCTGAGTTCAAATCCTGCCTTCCTCTCACTAACTGTCTGACCTTGGGCAAGTCTTTTAACCCCTTTAAGCCTCAACTTCCTTATATATAAAATGGAGATAATAATAGTACCTGCCTTGAAGGGTTGCTATGAAAATCAGTCAATTAGTTGATCAGTAGATAAACATTTATTAAACACCCACTTTGTACCAGGTACTGTACTAAGCTCTGGGGTTACAAAAAGAGGCAAAAAACAGTCCTTGTCCTAAGGAGCTCATAATCTAATATACAAATATGTACAAACAAACTATATTAAGGATAAATAGGAAATCATTAAAGGAGGGATGGCATCAAATGAGATTTTATACACACACGCACACACACACATATACACACACAATTCACACACACATGTAAGCTGTTTTGCAAATCTTAGGGTACTATATAATTGATAACTAGCTATTAATTTGCTGAGACCTCAAATGTTGGAGACTGTTGCTAAATAGAATAGAAATAGGATAGAAATAGAGAACAGAAATAGAGAAATAGAAATAGAGAACAGAAATAGAATAACAAAAACATAATGCAGAAAAAATCAGTTGTTTTTGGTTTTCCTGATTTTTTTAATTGGGAACAGAGGTTGGTCAGTGGGGTGGCATTGGAGGGAGATAAAAAAGCACATCAGAATTTGAAATTTGGGAGTAAATAGGGCATTCTGGACACTTAAATATTCTTATGAAGATTTTTTTTTCCTACCTCTAGCTTACCATCACCTGATATTTGGAGAATCTATACTGGCATTTTAAATCAGTCAGAAATCCAGGCAGCCACACCTTTCTTCAGGCCTAGAAAGATTATTATCCACCCTCAATATAAAATTTCAGAAACAAGACATGATATTGCTTTAATCAAGCTTGAAGCTGCCATGAATTTCACTGGTATGTAGACTGTTCATCACAAAGTTATCTATTTGAGTTTTCTAGATTTAAATTTTGCAGCACTTTGCATAAGACCTAACTCTTTTCACGACAGCCTTTGGCTTTTGACTTAGGGGACAATAATTGCTCCTATTTCCTAAGGGAAAGAGAAATCTTTTTTCAAAATTAATAAAGTATCTTCCAGAATAAGAGGTTTTCAGCCAGAACTCTCAACCTGACATGTGATATCTCATAAATTATTGAGATTAACGTCAGAGGAGATGATGCATTTCGGGGACCAGACAGGCACAAGGCTACCCCTGGGTGGTAGTCTCAGACAAAGAACCTTATCAACCTGCCATCTGGTGTTGGTCTTAAATAGAGACACTGCCATGAGCTAGAGACTAATGTCTAACTAAGCATCAGATGCTGTGGTTGGGGTGAGACTGGACTGAAGGCAAGAGGTTGGTCTGGAGGCATGCTATTGGGATATCATATTCTGAATAAGCTTTAAGAAGTAAGATATTAAAATTTTTCCCAATGGTAAACTGGTACGCCAGGCTTCTGGGCAGAGTGGGCAGGGACGACTTGGCAATTTCTAATGCTTATAATGCCCTGGGATGATGAATTCCCTATTAGTTGGACACTCCCTTGTGTCATTATCTCTAATGCATTATTGAGTATTTAACAGAAAGTGGACAGATCTCATTCTTAGGGTTTCCACAGCAGGACATAGCATTGGTATGTGTGTGTGTGTGTGTGTGTGTGTGTGTGTGTGTGTGTATGGAGTATGTCTATAAAATCAGAATTTTTCCTTCTTCTCTAACCAAACTCTAATATAACAAATACAATCTAGATTTCCAAAAACCTATCTGCTTGCCTTCAAAAGAAGACATGCCTTATACCACCTGCTGGGTGACTGGATGGGGCTACACCCAGGAAAAAGGTATGGAATGATGTTTAAAAATAAATGCTCATGAATGGGGCATCAGCTGTAAAATCAAAAAAATTTAAAAAAAAAACTGGGGCAATTCAGAGGAACTGAGCCCTAATGTAGAAGGTAAATGAGAGGCACCGTGGAGTAGTGGGTAGAAGGTTAACATTGGAATCCAGAAGACCTGGGTTTGAGTCCTGCCTTCTGACAGGATCCACACACACACACACACATATGTATATGTATACTTGTGCAACTCTAGGCAAATGACAGCCTATCGGTGCCTATGGCAACTCTCTAATAGTATAGATGTGCTGATCTAAGGGAGAGGTTTCTTCACTGGTCATACCTTACATCAATGAAATCACAGGTCCAAATTAATAAACAAATAAACAATAGAAACACACCTGCATTCCTCCAAGACAATTTATCATAGTCACAGAGTAAATGTCAGAGGCAGAATTCAAACCTAGGTCCTCATGTCACAGTCTAGTCTTCCAAGTGGAGCACTGGATAGAACATTGGGCCTAGAGTCAGGAAGAACTGAGTTTAAGTCCAGCCTCAGACACTTACTAGCTGTGTGACCCTGAACAAGTCACTTAACCTCCCTTTGCCTCAGTTTCCTCATCTGTAAAATGGGGATAAAAACAGCACCTACCTAGGGTTGTTGTTGTGAGGATCAAATGATATAATATTTGTAAAGTGTTTAGCACAGTGCCTGGCACATAGTAGATACTATATAAATGTTCACTATTACTATTATTATCATGTAATATTGCACATTATAATTACAGTTATGCTTTATCCCTTTACTAGTCTTTGAGCTGCATGAAGGCAGGGACTGTCCCACTACCCTTTCTATCTCCTCCAGTGTCTAACACAGTGCTTTGTACACTGTAGGTGCTTACTCAATGTGTATTGATTCAATGGAGGCCACTAGGGGGTGCCATACTGCATAGAGTGCCAGGCCTGGAGTCAGGAAGACTCCTCTTCCTGAGTTCAAAGCTTGCCCTCAGATATTTCCCAGCTGTGTGACCCTGGGCAAGTCACTTAACCCCATTGCCTAGGCAAGAACCCCCCCCTCCAAAAAAAAGTATCATTATCTATGTTGTATTATATTTTTATTTGTTTTGTTCAACAGTTTCCAATTACATTTTAATCTGGTTTGGACTGCTTTCTGGAGTTTGGGAGGCTACTTGTGGCCTGCAGGCCTTCCGTTTGTTTGATGTCTCTGATTCAGTCCAGCCCCCTTATTTTATAGGTGAGGAAATGAAGGCCCAGGGTGTTTAAGTGATCTGTTAAGGTCACAGAGGAGTAAATGTCAGACATGGTATTTGAAGCCAATTGACGCCAGTGCCGCTGGTTTTTTGTTTGTTTGTTTGTTTTTCTTCCCACTATATCATTCAGAAGTCTATGGGAGTCAGTTTGAACTGCTTTTACAAGACCTGATTGTTAAATTTTCAATATGAGTGTTTACGCCTTGGAAAGTGGCAAATCAGAACAAATCAAAGCTTCAGTTATTGCTTTGTTGACTGTCTAGATTTTTGAAAGTGGTGGAGGAAACAGTAATAATGCAAATTAAAATTGTGTTCAGCATCCCCTTCCCCCCCGAGAGTAGGTTGTTAAACATTTACTAGCACACCATGGGTTGCTTCTGTTGGAGGCTGGGGTTGGTAGGAAAAGGTGAATGAAAGAATAGGGTTTTTTTTGTTTTTATTGTTTTTGAATTTTAAAAATATGGAGCAGCTAGGTGCATAGTGGATAGAGCATCAGCCCTGGAGTCAGAGGGACTTGAGTCCAAACCCAGCCTCAGACATTTGACACTTACTAGCTGTGTGACCTTGGGCAAGTCACTTAACCCCAATTGCCTCATTCCCTCCACCCCCATGGAAAAATACAGAACTAGAATGTGAGATTATAGGTAGTAAATGAAAATGATGAGCTTTGAAGTTCTTAGTCAGCCTTGAACTGTGGGTGATTATGGAGGAAGATGGTGGACCAGAGATTGGAGGTAGCTTGGTAGTCAGACTTGTTCTAATAGTGTCTTGGAGGCAAAGCCAGGGCTTCAGTCCAGGATGTAGTGACACTGGTCTCTAATCTTTTCCCAAGATATTCCATCCGTGACTCCAGGCATTTTCTCTGGCTGTCTCCCATGTCTGAAATGTTCTTCCTCCTCATCTCCTGGTTCCCCTGGCTTCTTCCAAGTCTTAGCTAAATCCCCACCTCTCCATGAAGCCTTTCCCAATCCCCTCTAATGCTAGTGTCTTAATTCCAAAAGATTCATTATGGAAAATACTATCCACATCCAGAGGAAGAGCTATGGAGTCTGAATGCAGATGGAAGCCTACTATTTTCTCTTTTTTTTCATGGTTTTGCCCCCCTGTTTGGTTTCTTCTTTCACAACAAAACTAAGGTGGAAATATGTTTAACATGATTGCACATATATATCCTATATCACATTGCATGCAGTCTTGGGGAGGGGGAAGGGAAGAGAGTGGAAGAAGAAAAATTTGGAACTCAAAATCTTATAAAAATGAACGTTGAAAATTATCATTACATGTAATTAGAAAAAATAAAATACTATTTCACCAAAAAAGAGAAATAAATGTAAGATAAAGGAGGAAAATGCCAGTGTCTTCCTTTTTGTTGATTATTTTCTGTTTATATTGTATATAACTTGTGTGTCTGGCACGCAGTAGGTGCTTAATAAATACCTGTTGACTGGACTTCTAGATCACTTGAATGATGCCACTACAAGTTAAGACACAAAAACTGGTCTGCCAACTTCTAATGTCCAGGTTTTACCCAATGGGTCCTATTAGAGAATTCAGAAATCTGATTTTGCTTCAATTTCTCACTCTGCTTTTAATACACATTTCAATGTTCCTTCTGTTTTGCTAGGTACAATCCAAAACACTCTCCAGAAGGTCAGAATTCCCCTAGTCCCCATTGAAGAATGTCGGAAAAAATACATTCAGCATAGAATAACTGATCAGATGATCTGTGCTGGTTATAAAGAAGGGGGTAAAGATGCTTGTAAGGTAAAGACATCTGTTATATGAATATTGGCAGAGTGGGACTACTAAGCAAAAAAGCATCTAGCTAAGAGGAGCAGGCGATAGAGTGCTGAGCTTGGAGTCAGGAAGACTTGAGATCGAATTCTGCCTCAGACACTTACTAGCTGTGTGACCTTGAGTGAGTCATTTAACCTCTGCCTCAGTTTCCTTAATTGTAAATGAGGAAAATAACAGCATCTACAAAGGTTGTTGTGAGGATCAAATAGGATAATGCTTGTAAAGCACTTAGCATAGCACTCAATAAGTGTTTATTTCCTTCCTCCCCTCAGAGGTGAGAAATATGATGTGAAGGAGTATAGAACTGGAATTGAAAGGGGCCTTATGAGTTCAAAACATTCATTTTACAAATGAGGAAACTGATTCTCAGACAAATCAAGTGACCTGTCTGGGGTTACATAAGTCATAATGCTAGAATCAATTTCACATTAAAAGCCAACTATCAAATGCCATTTAAATGTTTCTATTTATTTGTTACAAAAGCAAGATAGGATACATTGAAATCAGACAGATCCAAAGTCCTCAGACAAGCACTGTGTGTGTGATCAAAGGACAGAATGTATGTAAGCAGAAAATTTTATGAACCTTAGAATTGCACAAGTATTTCAGCTGTGATGATGATGTATGATAAGAGTGGACTATGTTTCGATTCAGATATATGGACATTAGATTTCTTTTTCATGGTTGTTGGCCTGATATCTGAAATAGATAAACTTGGTTATTGAATTAGACAGGGAAATAACAAAATGAAAAAAAAAACATAGAGCTACCCTCATTCTCACTCCTTACTTGAAGAACTTCAACACTTTATGATGTGTAGACACTTGTTGAAATTTTGTGTTTTCCTTGTGGTTGAATTGAGTTGAATTATTTGCCATTCAATGTGCGTCCCACTGAGGAAGTGGGTTGGGCCACTCTCCAAGCCCAACTTGGTTTTGTTAGATCTTTGGCCAAGACCCATATAATACCAAAGAGGCAGCTAGATGGCAGGTAGAGTGCTGTGCCTGGAGTCAGGAAGACCTGAGCTCAAATCCAGCCTCAGACACTTAATTTGATGTGTGATCCTGGACAAGTCACTTAACCTCTGTTTGCCTTAATCCACTAGAGAAGGAAATGGTAAAGCACTCCAGCGTCTTTGCCAAGAAGACCTCATGGACAGTATAGGCATGATATGGTCCATAGGGTTGTGATTGGACATGACTCAACAACAAAAATATAAACCTCACCCCTAGAGTATCTGGGTACACCCTCTTCCTTCCTTCCAATCTGTCAACTTTATACCATTTAGCCTTTAATGAAATCCAGTTCTCCTTATAAAGTTCTTAGGTAAAGTTCCTTTATGCCTCTAACCAATCTCCCCCCACAAAGAAACACTCAAACTTTTCAGCCCATAATATTAATTGATATTTATGGAACATTTCAGAGTTTGAAAAGTGTGCTCTCTATCTCTCTCTCTCCAACATATATATATAATTTCCATTTTGCAGCCAAGGTGACTAAAACTCAGAGAGATTAAAATAAATTGACTGTGGTCATATAACTAGTAAGTATCAGAGGCAAGATTTGAATCTAGGCTTCCTTGATTCCAAATACAATGCTATATTCACCATGCCCCTGTGCATCTTTACTACTTAGCATTATGATATGGTTCAAGTATTCCTTTGGGTGGTCTTTCATTCAAACATATTGACATTCCATTAATGATCCATGTGCTCCCATTGCTCCAGTCCCATTTGAGCAAACTAAATTATTTTTCATTAAAATATTAAATATTATAACACTGAGATTCTAACTTAGAGCATCTACTCAGGTCAGTATCATACTAGTTTGGGATAATCTGGGATGAAGCAATAACTAGCTGCCAGGGTGATTGGAGGACATACTAAAGAGTGGGTATATCAAGAGTGGCTGTCCTTAATGAAAGTTAATGAAATGGATTCAGTGAGTTGATAGATGGTCAAGAGAAATTGGACTGGGCAGCTAGTGGAGGAGTGAGTGTAGTATGGACAAGGAAGGGTTTGTAGTCAGGAGAGAGGTGGCGGGTCAACTTAGGAAACAGATGCCAGTTGTCAAGAGAACATGAACTTGACCAGACTTAGAGAGACGTTGGGAAATAGAAGGGCTTGGCATGCTAAGGTCCATGGGGTCACGAAGAGTTGGACATCATTGTACAACTGAACAACAAGAATATCTTTGATGGGGGCGGGGAGGGAAAGTGAGCTACAAAGGATCTTTACTATAATGCTTTCTTAAGGGTACATGGGACGTTTTCTTATAAGTGAAATCACCTAATAATTAAGTCTTTTTGGTACTCAAGTCACCCAGAAATGGGTTCTGAAAAAGTCTGTTATACTTAAGTCTGTTCCATGGTAATTAGTATTATACTGAGATTTTGGAGTATTATGATAAAAATATTTGGGAAAAGGTTTTTATAGTCCCACTGTGTGAAAGCTTTTGAATTTTCAGTTATTCTCTTATTGGAGTAATAGAATTATATTGTTATTTTGAAACCCATATCATCCATTAGTTTGGCATTCATCAATAAGTTCAAGTACCAATATGGTTTTAAGGAAAGGTTATGTGTATGTATGTTTTTGTGTGTCTGACTACAGAAAGCTGTATGTATGAACTGACTTTGAAGACACCTCTTATAAACATTTTCTATTTTGTTTTTCCAACCCCTGTGATACAGGGAGATTCAGGTGGCCCCCTGTCCTGTTACCAAAATGGAGCATGGCAACTAGTTGGCATCACCAGCTGGGGAGATGGTTGTGCTAAAAAGGATCACCCAGGTGTTTATACCAAAGTGGCTGCATATGTGGACTGGATTTTAGAGAGCACACAAAACTGACCATCTCTCCTTGATGAAGCTAGCTGATTGTGAATGGTAATAAGAGACTGTAAGAGTCTTTTACAAATATGTTGCCTATCAAATCTAACAACTCGTTGGGAAGAATGGGTCTCCCTCCCCCATTTTCTTCTCTTGGTTCAGCAGAATCAGATCTGAAGGTTTCTAATGTTTAAGAATTAGCTGTCACTACGATATGGAGGTCAGAGCGTCTAAGGTTTATTTGGGTGTGGTAGAAACAGATGGTAACAACAGTGGCCTTTCTTCCATATTGATGTCACCTTGCAGACAGCACATGAAAGCTTGGAGGAATAGGGCTTCCTGATTTCCTGGCTGGTGTTTTAGATGGCTTATGGAGCTAGCTCACTGTCCTTGAAGGAGGAAGAGAGTGAAAGTCTTCTTGCTGGCAGAGAAGTGAGGCTACCAGGGGTCTGGTGTTTCTGTGCGTCTGTGCTTGTGTTCTCCTGTATTACTTTTTGTCTCTGGTAGAGTCTTTTTTTTGCTGAACCGTGCTATAAGCTGCCCACAGTCTTGGGCAGAGACAACATGGTTTTGTTGTGGCAGTTTTGTGCCACCATGTCAGCGACAACTGTATTCTTCAAAACACTGTCCAAGCCCCTCCCTATTAACTCAGGTTAACACTTCTTTCCATAGGCCACAGGATCCCAACATTATATCTGGGTCAACCAGCATAAATTGTTTAGGAACTTTTCGTAAATAATTCCAAATCACTTTTCAAAATGGCCATTCCCGTTCACAGGTCCACCAACAGTGTACCAGAGTGCCTGATTTGCTACAACCCCTCCAACATTCTTCTGTGTCTCAGCCTTTTAATTCCTAAATAGGTGGTGGAATTTGGGGAATAGGTGTTATCTCCAAACTATATGTGAGCAGAGTTGCCTTGCATGGAGACCTTTTCATTCCAAAAGGAAATAAAGTCCTAGAAATGATGGGGCCAGTGACTATGGAGGACAGAATAGGCTTCTAATAGTACTGTAGCTTCATCGTGCAGTCTACAAATTACAGTAAGGAATGTATTGTTTTCCAAGATTCTTAGTATCAGGAGACTTAAATGGTGATAATTGAGCTCTATAATAGTAATAGTAAAACATTTAAAAAGTCTAAAATGTTACATCAGATTACCCTAGGTTATCCATGGGGATATATGGATATATGGGGAATAGGAAAGAGCAATGTAAATTTAGAGGTAATATGCAAGTGTAACAGTTTCCTCACCTGTAAAATAGAGATAAAAATAGCACCTACCTCCCATGGTTGTTTTGAGGATCAAATGAGATAATTATTGTAAAGCATTTAGTACAGTGCCTGGCACATAGTCACTTAAACGTTAGCTTTTATGATTGTGATTATTATTAAATGAAATGCTCTGATGGTTTTTATATTCACTTACAATTCTTTTACCCCAACTGGTTCCAAGCTAAATAGAAGTGTTCTGAATTCTTTTCTTTTTTTCTTCTTTTCTTTTCTTTCCTTTTCTTCCTTCTTTCCCTCTTTCCTTCCTTCGTTCCTTCCTTCCCTCTTTCCTTCCTTCCTTCCTTCCTTCCTTCCTTCCTTCCTTCCTTCCTTCCTTCCTTCCTTCCTTCCTTCCTTCCATCTTTCCTTCCTTCCTTTTCTATTTTTTTCTTCTACATCCTGTGATGGATATAAAAAGGACCACTGAAGTGGCATAAAGTCAAGAATAGAAGATGGTGACCTAAGTGGTCTGGATAATCCACAGACAGAGAAACAATCAGAAACTGAAGGCTCAAGAGTTGGCTGCAGGAACACTTAACTCTGGCAAAAACAAACAGGAATCTTGGAGATTACAATAAATCAAGGACAAGATGCCGCTATCTCAGCCTCTAATTGAGGTCTGGAACTTTGACCTATGTTGTTTTTCAATTAAAAAATTAAAAAAAGACATGGCTTGATTTTTATTTCCAATTTGTGTTTGATGTTTATAAGCCATATTTGACCTGACCTTTGGAGTGGCCAGCGCTATGGCAGATAAACACTTCCATTCCATTTAATAGTAGTAGAGTTCTGTGACAAAAAGAAAATAAGGCTTCCTCTCTGGGAAATCCAAATTTTAGCCCTTTGGGGCTTAGCCCGGAGAGGTCTTTCTAACCATAACTCAGCATTGCCCTGAGTGACTGATTGCCTCTGCTTCTAAAGTCAATTATCTGTCATGCTTCTGAGACAGCTACTCCCACTGATAAACCTTCTATTGTCTTTGGGGTAAATAGGATCATTGATAAGAGCTGGAGGTTGTGTCCTTCTTTCTGGAATAGGACTTACAATTGACTCTGATGTGAATGAGGGAGGGCTGTGCAAAGTCACATGCCTCACTTTCTCTTCCACAGCCATCTGAGTCCAGGGACAAGATAAGGATCAGGAGGATTGGAGAAGGCTCATCATGCAATGGGAGAACTTGGCCAAGAAAACCCCAAATGGGGTCACAAAGAGTCGGACATGACTGAAATAATTGAACAATTTCTAACTTCGTTGTTTTCTAGTCTTCTAATATTGAACTCTCCTCCCTGTACTCTCTTATCCGTCCTGCTTACTTTTCCACACAACAGACATTTTCTATCTGGACTTCATGCCTGGAATGGTCTTCTTCCTTACCTCTGCCTCATGGCTTCCTTCAAGACTCAGTTTAGGGACAGCTCAGTGGTGCAGTGGAGAGAACACTGGCCCTTGAGTCAGGAGGACTTGAGTTCAAATGCAGCCTCAGACACTTGATAATTACTAACTTACTAGCTGTGTGACCCTGAGCAAGTCACTTAACCCCAATTGCCTCACCAAAAAAAAAAAAAAAAGACTCAGTTTAAATCCTGCCTTCTGCAAGATGCCTTTCCCATTCCCCTCAATTGCTAGTACCTTCCCTTGGAGAGTACATATCTACTATCTATCTGGTTTTTTGCATATGATCTCCCACTGAACTATGAGCTCCTTGAGGGCAGGGACCATGTTTTTGCTTTTCTTTTGTATCCGCAGTGCTTAGTACAATAGAAGGCACATGGTAAGTGCTTAATAAATGCTTATTGATTAACTGATTAATGGATATCATGCTAGCTCCCAAATGATAAGCACAAATTCCTTTGTCAGGGCTATACTTAAGTGTCAGACACAGTTTTCTAGAAGCCAATATAGACTGAATGTCATGATGGAGTTTTACCAGAATGGAGGAACTTTTGAGTTAAAGTTTCCTATAGAAAATCTAAGTTAGACTTAGGGGGTGGGGAACCTGAGACCTGGAGGCCACATGTAGCCCTCTACATCCTCAAGTGCGGCCCTTTGACTGAATCTAAATTTGTTCTGTGAAGTTTGGATTCAGTCAAAGGGTTGCACTTGAAGACGTAGGGGGCCACATGTAGTTTTGAGGTGGCAGGCTCCCCACCATTCTAAACGTCTCCTCCTTAAAGCTCTTCTTTTAAGCAGTGGTAGGGGAGTTAAAGTTACATCCTTTTCACCATTGTTTGAGTGTAGATGTGTAAATAGACTCTCTAAGTAGTCCAGGAACATAATGATTTTATCTAATCCCACATATCAGTTTCCTTTAAAATCTTTCTGCACAAAGAGTCTTGCCATCCTACCTTGAGATTTCACATAAAGGCAATGCATATCCCTTTTGTGAAATTGAAATAGATTAAATGTCCTCTTTTTGCAAAAAAAAAAAAAAAAGATAGAACACTGAGCTTCTTAAATGGGTAACCTTCATGCCAAGATGTCTATAGACAATAGCAACAGATCAAATGAAAGTATCTGGATCATTGGCTTCCACACTAATATCCCAAGAAATTTAAGCACACTGTATGCAAAAGCTTTTTCCAAACCCTAATCCTCAACTTCTTTTCCTTAGGGGAAATTCAACCATCAACAAGAAGCCTTTCCCAATTTGCTTTAATGCCATTGCCTTCCAATATATCCTGGGTATATCTCCATGTACAACATGAAGGTTTGCATATTGTCTCTCCCTTTGGACTGTGAGCTCCTTGAGTGTAGGGGCAGTTTTTGACCTTTCTTTGTATCCCCAGCACTTAGCACAGTGCCTGGCATATATGCTTATTCATGACTGACTGACCAAAAAAAAAGGTGACTGCTCATTGCTTTTAAAAATACTCTTCAACCACATTTTCATGCCCCTGTGCCCCCCATATGGCAGTGCTGATAACCAAGTGTGTTGAGCAGCTGAGATGCTCACCTATAAGAGTTCGGGGTGGCCCCCTTAGTTAGGTTTCTTTAGGTTTCTTCTTGCTCTATAATTATTTGAAACTTTGAAGGAGTTACTCCTGCAATGTGTCTTTCCTTACTTTCTGTTGGTTGTTCTTGTCTCAGCAGATGTTACCTTTCCTCCTAATCTCCTTTCAGTTCACCTTCTTCCTTAGGAATCTGATCCACTGCCATCATTTTGGGGATTTTTTTTATATCCTCAGTTTCTTCACTGCGAAAATGAAGGGATTGGTCTAAAAATAGTTGCTGGGGGTCTTTCTGCTTCTTCCATTGTGTTCTCTGAAGTTTGCCAAAGTTTCATGGCTTTGTAGATAGCTTTCCCATAAACAAATGATCCTTGAACAAAGAATAACACTTCCTCTGGCACCCCCCCCATTCACACACAGCCACACACACACACACACACACACACACACACACACACACACACACACCCCCACACACACACACACTCCCTTCCACTAAGGTCTTGGGCCAGGATAAAATTACAGTTTTATAGTTTCCACAGTCTTGAAAAAAAAAGAGTTTATCTGCTGCCTTCTAGATATGCCTTAAATTGGAGTTTAGGGTCCTGCTTGTGTTTTGTTTTGTTTGATTTTTCCCAGACATTTTGGAGAACTGTGAATTTTCTCTGAAAGCTATGATAAATCCTTCCTGGAATCTCTGCTCAATGCTATCAAATATTATCAGAAATGCATGAGGTCGCCTGAGAGTGGCCACAGAAGTACCCTAAGTGGTGTGCTCATACACAAAACAGACCACCGTATTAAGGTACATTCCTGATATGTATATGTGTGCCTCTCAGCTTTCCCGAGATCTCTCCGGAAAGTGTCCAGTCTAGTCTATTGCTTGAGTCCAAACAGTTTAACCCCCATATATAGTCATAGAGCCAGCCCGTTTCTGTTTTGGAGCATTTTGGAGTCTATTTCTCTTTTTAAACATTTTGGAGGCTGAGGTTGGGAATAACGTTCACAGAGCTGAGGGTAGGCACAAACAACAGAAACATAGACTGTTTACAAAGCACAGGTGACTCCGGAAAGCAAATATTTAAATCAAGTGAACTTTGTCTGCAGGAGACCATTGAGCATGCTGGGAAGAGGTTTTTGTGTGCTTTTTTGGTGGAAAGGAAACTTCAAAGCACAATAGGAACACAGCTGTGCTTTCAGGTACAGATTTTTTTAAAAAAATATTTTATTTTTCTTTTAGAACAATTAAAAAATCTTAGAATGAATTATAGTTAGCCATATCATTAACTTTCTTAATTAATTTATTTACCAACCATTAACTGACCTGGTATTCATCTAGATGGAGATTTCATTTTGGTCTGAGGAACATAGTATACCTTACGAAAAAAGCTAATCTCAAAGAAGCCAAGTTTTAAGATGGGTTGCTGCACTGGTTAAGCCAATTGGAAGTGTTAGCATCATTTATGACTAATAACTAGAATGAAGGGGAGGCATTTTTCAATTTTTAATCTCATAAGAGCTCCTGATTTAAGGAATTCTCTTCTTTGCCTCTGGTCACCTTCTCACAGAAGAGCTGATTTCAATGCTTAGAGAAAGTTCCTTAACTCATCCAGGACATTGAAGTATGGTTTTGCACAGTTACAATTTAGTAGTTTAAGCACAACTAGTTTTTCTTTGGACTAGGCCCAAAATTTAATTTGGATTGGTGAAGAATTTTTTTCTGCCAATGCAAATGGGCACCTGCTTTACAGCTATTGACTTTGAGGGTTGCCTTGGGCAATGAGTAGTTAAGGTTGTATCTCCAGGGGAATATGGACCAGTGATGTAAACAATAATGGGGGTCACTAAATCATATCCCTAAGGCTGCATGTTAACTTACTAACATTGTCTATGCTCTATTATGTTTGTTGTTGTTGTTAAATATTTCTCAATTACATTTTAATCTGATTCAGGCCACACTTAGGAGTGTTGCTGGCCAACAGACAGTGTATTTGACACCATCTTTCTGAGTTTGAGGCTACCTCTACATCTATCCTCTGGGGCCTTCAAGGACTACTGTTACTACAAAATTAAAAAAAAAATGTGTGGCATTTCTTAGGGAATAGTCCTCTACTGTAGCACAGGAAGAGTGAAGAGTTCATTGGTGAATTGCATAAGGACATCTCAGAGATGAAAAAGGGATCAGAGAGGAGGGAGAGAAGGAATGAGAAGGAAGGAGAAAACAAAGGAAAGAAGAAAGGAGGGAAAGAAGGAAGGAAAGAAAGAAGGGAAGGAAGGAAAGAAGGATGGTAAGAAGGAAAAAAGTAAAGAAGAAGGGAGAAAGGGAGGGAAGAAAGGAAGGAAGAAAAAAGGAAGAAAGGAAGGAAAGAAGGAAGAAAGGTACTGATTTGACATGAGGTGCCATAGGTTTGGATAACAATGTTGATAGCCATTTATGTTCAGCAAGGTAGAGGATCAAGTGACTTCTTTCGGTTCCTCCCTGTTCCATGATTCTTGGAAATTCTGAAAGAGTTAAGCACACAAACTACACCAGGTAATTGCTTGTGCAACTAGGAAGAATCCCGCTCAAAAACTGCAATTCTTTCGCTGTAGTTTCTGCAACTATTGATCAGCATAGTGATAAGTTTGTCAAAAGTTAATAACTTGGGGCAGCTAGATGGCACAGTGGATAGAGCACCAGCCCTGAAGTCAGGAGGACCTGAGTTCAAATCCAGCCT